CTCTGTACCAGAGTGAGGTAGCTACCAGCTCTGTACCAGAGTGATGTAGCGACCAGCTCTGTACTAGAGTGAGGTAGCTACCAGCTCTGTACCAGAGTATCATTTGTGAGCTGATAAAGCGTCTGTGGTGAGGTAGCTACCAGCTCTGTACTAGAGTGAGGTAGCTACCAGCTCTGTACCAGAGTGAGGTAGCTACCAGCTCTGTACTAGAGTGAGGTAGCTACCAGCTCTGTACTAGAGTGAGGTAGCTACCAGCTCTGTACCAGAGTGAGGTAGCTACCAGCTCTGTACCAGAGTATCATCTGTGAGTTGATAAAGCGTCTGTGGTGAGGTAGCGACCAGCTCTGTACTAGAGTGAGGTAGCTACCAGCTCTGTACCAGAGTATCATTTGTGAGATGATAAAGCTTCTGTGGTGAGGTAGCGACCAGCTCTGTACTAGAGTGAGGTAGCTACCAGCTCTGTACTAGAGTATCATTTGTGAGCTGATAAAGCTTCTGTGGTGAGGTAACTACCAGCTCTGTACTAGAGTGAGGTAGCTACCAGCTCTGTAGCTCTGTACTAGAGTGAGGTAGCTACCAGCTCTGTACCAGAGTGAGGTAGCTACCAGCTCTGTACCAGAGTGAGGTAGCTACCAGCTCTGTACCAGAGTATCATTTGTGAGCTGATAAAGCGTCTGTGGTGAGGTAACTACCAGCTCTGTACTAGAGTGAGGTAGCTACCAGCTCTGTACCAGAGTGAGGTAGCTACCAGCTCTGTACCAGAGTATCATCTGTGAGTTGATAAAGCGTCTGTGGTGAGGTAGCGACCAGCTCTGTACTAGAGTGAGGTAGCTACCAGCTCTGTACTAGAGTGAGGTAGCTACCAGCTCTGTACCAGAGTATCATCTGTGAGTTGATAAAGCGTCTGTGGTGAGGTAGCGACCAGCTCTGTACTAGAGTGAGGTGAGCTGACCAGCTCTGTACTAGAGTGAGGTAGCTACCAGCTCTGTACTAGAGTGAGGTAGCTACCAGCTCTGTACTAGAGTGAGGTAGCTACCAGCTCTGTACCAGAGTATCATTTGTGAGCTGATAAAGCTTCTGTGGTGAGGTAACTACCAGCTCTGTACTAGAGTGAGGTAGCTACCAGCTCTGTACTAGAGTGAGGTAGCGACCAGCTCTGTACCAGAGTGAGGTAGCTACCAGCTCTGTACCAGAGTGATGTAGCTACCAGCTCTGTACTAGAGTGAGGTAGCTACCAGCTCTGTACCTGAGTGAGGTAGCTACCAGCTCTGTACCAGAGTGAGGTAGCTACCAGCTCTGTACCAGAGTGATGTAGCGACCAGCTCTGTACTAGAGTGAGGTAGCTACCAGCTCTGTACCAGAGTATCATTTGTGAGCTGATAAAGCGTCTGTGGTGAGGTAGCTACCAGCTCTGTACTAGAGTGAGGTAGCTACCAGCTCTGTACCAGAGTGAGGTAGCTACCAGCTCTGTACTAGAGTGAGGTAGCTACCAGCTCTGTACTAGAGTGAGGTAGCTACCAGCTCTGTACCAGAGTGAGGTAGCTACCAGCTCTGTACCAGAGTATCATCTGTGAGTTGATAAAGCGTCTGTGGTGTGACCAGCTCTGAGGTGAGGTAGCGACCAGCTCTGTACTAGAGTGAGGTAGCTACCAGCTCTGTACCGGAGTATTATTTGTGAGATGATAAAGCTTCTGTGGTGAGGTAGCGACCAGCTCTGTACTAGAGTGAGGTAGCTACCAGCTCTGTACTAGAGTATCATTTGTGAGCTGATAAAGCTTCTGTGGTGAGGTAACTACCAGCTCTGTACTAGAGTGAGGTAGCTACCAGCTCTGTACTAGAGTGAGGTAGCTACCAGCTCTGTACCAGAGTGAGGTAGCTACCAGCTCTGTACCAGAGTGAGGTAGCTACCAGCTCTGTACCAGAGTATCATTTGTGAGCTGATAAAGCGTCTGTGGTGAGGGTGAGGTGAGGTAGCTACCAGCTCTGTACCAGAGTGAGGTAGCTACCAGCTCTGTACCAGAGTATCATCTGTGAGTTGATAAAGCGTCTGTGGTGAGGTAGCGACCAGCTCTGTACTAGAGTGAGGTAGCTACCAGCTCTGTACTAGAGTGAGGTAGCTACCAGCTCTGTACCAGAGTATCATCTGTGAGTTGATAAAGCGTCTGTGGTGAGGTAGCGACCAGCTCTGTACTAGAGTGAGGTAGCTACCAGCTCTGTACTAGAGTGAGGTAGCTACCAGCTCTGTACTAGAGTGAGGTAGCTACCAGCTCTGTACTAGAGTGAGGTAGCTACCAGCTCTGTACCAGAGTATCATTTGTGAGCTGATAAAGCTTCTGTGGTGAGGTAACTACCAGCTCTGTACTAGAGTGAGGTAGCTACCAGCTCTGTACTAGAGTGAGGTAGCTACCAGCTCTGTACTAGAGTGAGGTAGCTACCAGCTCTGTACTAGAGTGAGGTAGCTACCAGCTCTGTACTAGAGTGAAGTAGCTACCAGCTCTGTACCAGAGTATCATCTGTGAGTTGATAAAGCGTCTGTGGTGAGTTAACTACCAGCTCTGTACCAGAGTATTATTTGTGAGCTGATATAGCTTCTGTGGTGAGGTAGCGACCAGCTCTGTACCAGAGTGAGGTAGCGACCAGCTCTGTACTAGAGTGAGGTAGCGACCAGCTCTGTACTAGAGTGAGGTAGCTACCAGCTCTGTACCAGAGTATCATCTGTGAGTTGATAAAGTGTCTGTGGTGAGTTAACTACCAGCTCTGTACCAGAGTATCATTTGTGAGCTGATAAAGCTTCTGTGGTGAGGTAGCGACCAGCTCTGTACCAGAGTGAGGTAGCGACCAGCTCTGTACTAGAGTGAGGTAGCTACCAGCTCTGTACCAGATTATCATTTGTGAGCTGATAAAGCTTCTGTGGTGAGGTAGCGACCAGCTCTGTACTAGAGTGAGGTAGCTACCAGCTCTGTACTAGAGTGAGGTAGCTACCAGCTCTGTACTAGAGTGAGGTAGCTACCAGCTCTGTACTAGAGTGAGGTAGGGACCAGCTCTGTACTAGAGTGAGGTAGCTACCAGCTCTGTACCAGAGTATCATTTGTGAGCTGATAAAGCGTCTGTGGTGAGGTAGCTACCAGCTCTGTACTAGAGTGAGGTAGCTACCAGCTCTGTACCAGAGTATCATTTGTGAGCTGATAAAGCGTCTGTGGTGAGGTAGCGACCAGCTCTGTACCAGAGTGAGGTAGCTACCAGCTCTGTACTAGAGTGAGGTAGCTACCAGCTCTGTACTAGAGTGATCACCAGGAGTACTAGAGTATCATTTGTGAGCTGATAAAGCTTCTGTGGTGAGGTAGCGACCAGCTCTGTACTAGAGTGAGGTAGCGACCAGCTCTGTACCAGAGTATCATTTGTGAGCTGATAAAGCGTCTGTGGTGAGGTAGCGATCAGCTCTGTACCAGAGTGAGGTAGCTACCAGCTCTGTACTAGAGTGAGGTAGCTACCAGCTCTGTACCAGAGTGAGGTAGCTACCAGCTCTGTACCAGAGTATCATTTGTGAGCTGATAAAGCGTCTGTGGTGAGGTAACTACCAGCTCTGTACTAGAGTGAGGTAGCTACCAGCTCTGTACTAGAGTGAGGTAACTACCAGCTCTGTACTAGAGTGAGGTAGCTACCAGCTCTGTACCAGAGTGAGGTAGCTACCAGCTCTGTACCAGAGTATCATCTGAGAGCTGATAAAGCGTCTGTGGTGAGGTAGCTACCAGCTCTGTACCAGAGTATCATTTGTGAGCTGATAAAGCTTCTGTGGTGAGGTAACTACCAGCTCTGTACTAGAGTGAGGTAGCTACCAGCTCTGTACCAGAGTATCATTTGTGAGCTGATAAAGCTTCTGTGGTGAGGTAACTACCAGCTCTGTACTAGAGTGAGGTAGCTACCAGCTCTGTACCAGAGTGAGGTAGCTACCAGCTCTGTACTAGAGTGAGGTAGCTACCAGCTCTGTACTAGAGTGAGGTAACTACCAGCTCTGTACCAGAGTATCATCTGTGAGCTGATAAAGCGTCTGTGGTGAGGTAACTACCAGCTCTGTACTAGAGTATCATCTATTATTTATACCTTCTCAGACTTCAATGGCTGTATGTCCATCAAAACAAGAGAAATGGTTTGTACAGCAACATAACTCATATTTTCAAATTGCAGTAATCAAGAGTGTTGTTGTTTCAAAATGTCACATGCTGTTGATGTAGGGAAATACACTGTTCCTGTTTTGTCAAGTTTGTCAAGGCCATGACAACCTTGGTAAGAAATAGCAAGGTGTCTTAGGAACCACGATATTTCATTCAGTAGAGAGTTGGCCTACGTAACCTCAGATCAGAGGTGGTTGTTTTTATGAACTGGAGGCAGGTAGTGTGTAAGAATGAGGAAGTGGAGAAAAAAACAATCTATGCTATATTAGTGGTGTCTTTGGGCAAAACACTTGACTGTAATCATCCTGGATGGCATGCGACAGACTTCCAGTATGTTGTAATTCACTGAGATATACATTGTACATGGAGACATCACCTCCTAATACTATTTTGGGTGTTGAGAAGGCAATAAACCCAGTCAAAAAATCAAACAAACTATGTGTCCTTTTTTTACAAATTGTTTCTCTTTTTTACCTCACCAGAGGGGGCTGTAAACAGATGTTAAAAATTGAAATAAGTTGTTTGATAATCAGATAATGGATTCAGTGAAGATGTGATTTACGTGAAAAAAACAAATTAGACATGATTTAGAAGAATGTCTTCTGAAGTTGTGAAGGATAATAAAGCAGCAAAGAATACTAGCAAAACAACATTATAAAAAAAATGAAAAAAAAAAGAAAAAAATGAAAGTCTGGAAAAGTTTTGTCGTAAGTGAAAGGTTAGTCGTAGGTTATCAAACACAGTAGAAGGTACCTCTGTAAACACTGTTAGCGATGTAAAATACAAATGGATTTGGTGTGTTATCATACGATGATTTTGTTATGGCAGGAAGTGACGATATCTCCAATGGTAACCTGAAATTGATCCTGGGATTGATATGGCATCTTATCCTCCGCTACCAGATAGGGAAGACAAAGTTCCCAGCCAAGAAGTTGATGTTAGCTTGGTTACGAGCAGTTATCCCAGAATGCAACATCACAAATTTCACAACTTGTTGGAACGATGGTGTCGCTCTCCAGTAAGTTAACACCAACCTTGTAGATCCCTATCTCTTTATACAGCAGATTTAGAATCAGACATAACTTTGCAAGTTTTGAAGATTATGCTGAAAACATAATAGAAATTGGCATTCTGCATTTATAACAAAAGATGAAAAATTGTTTTGTTTTGATATCAATAGGACTCTTAATATTGATATATATTTAATTTGAAGGTCGTTACAAGTGAACTAGGTGCATACTAACCACCATTGTTGCCAACTCACCTGATTTCATCATGTCAACCTGATATTGGCCATAGCATTGACCTGCTAAAATCCTGAAAAATCCTAGAATCACCCGAGTTTTCCTGATTTTTGTTCAGGTTTTTGAAAATTCCAAAATCAAGTTTTTAATCTAATTTGGGCAAAATAATGCTCAAACACAACATAGAGTATCATCTTAAAGATGTACAGATGTGATAACTGTCAAATAGAATTGGCTGAAGATCTTTTTCCTTGATGATGCTTTAAAACATCCTGTCACTCTTTATTTTGAAGGACTTAAGTGACCAGATATTACTAAAGGATGGCAACACTGACCATTATAATACAGAGAACTTAACACAGCTGTACACTTCAATGATGGTGTGTTAACATTGTATTTTGATATTTATAAATTGTATTTTATTAAACAGTGCCCTAGTGAATTACTGTGACCCTAAGATTGAGGAGGCCACGAACTGGAGATATCTCAGTCACAGTGACAGGTATGTAAAATAGAAGATTTGTATCAATAATTATATCTCAGTCACAGTGACAGGTGTAAAATAGAAGATTTGTGTCAAGAAATAAATTTTATCTAAAGTCAATGATTTAAAAGAAATAGAAATTGGGTACATTTAGTGCTAAATAATCACATAGACAGTGTTTACGTGGTCATTATCAATTCTTACGACTTTTTGTGTGTTTTTTATCCTTTCCCTAGCCTAAACACCTGTAGTAATGCCATGAATTTGGCCAAGAAGCACTTTGACATCCCCCTGGTGGTACGACCTGAGGATCTGTCCAGCCCTGACCTTGACGAGCTGTCTGGAATGACCTATTTATCATACTTTATGAAGATTGACTCGCCTGGTTACATGGCGACCAGGAACATGACCCGAAACCTCCTTAAGAGTGGGAGCTTTAATAACTTCACAGTGAGTGAAATGAGACCATGTTCACGGTGTTTAGATTTCTAGAATTATTTGCCTGTTTTGGAAGAACGTAGAACTGAGATTTTCTGGCAAAAGCTGGCTGTTTTTTGGGAATTATTTAGAACTGAGATTTTCTGGCAAAAGCTGGCTGTTTTCTGGGAATTATTTAGAACTGAGATTTTCTGGCAAAAGCTGGCTGTTTTCTGGGAATTATTTAGAACAAAGTTTTTCAGTATTAACTATCTGTTTTGATTGGAGGCATAACCAAGACCTGCAGCATTTAAAGGCTAGCTGTTGTAGATACATTCAGACCTAAGATATCTGGCATTAGATATCTGTTTTGATTGGAGGCATAACCAAGACCTGCAGCATTTAAAGGCTAGCTGTTGAAGATACATTAAGACTTAAGATATCTGGCATTAGATTGCTGATTTTGTTGAGTGTAGAGCCAGTGATATTGTTAGCTATCAATCTATTGTTTATAAAATATATAAAATATACTGGCTGTATGTCGATGACTTTTGTTTCATGACAAATTATTGTTCTATTTCTCTGAAAAAGCCAGAAAGAATACACTACATAGTTACTCTAGATATCCTGCATAATACAATGTCCTTAGAAGTCTGGTGTCACCTAGCTTGTCATACCATTATGGTTGTGAGGATGTCTTCTATACAGACTCGGTCTGATATTGTTGTGGTGATGAATTATTGTACATCACGAGTTGATGATGACAATCATGTTGTTACACAGGATGACTGGTCTGACGGACATCTCCTCTGTAATTTGGTTACCTCCCTTGGAGAGTCTGCATCGCCTGTTGGAAGTCCAGAAGAAAATTTACAATTAGGTAAGGCGTTGGACTGATTTCTGTGGATTCTGCTGTTCTCATCGTTAACATATAAAACACCTGGTTTCATCAATCAAAGTTACCACGGTTTGTTAGATGATTATAAAATCACCATGGCTGAAACTTTTCAGTTGGTTTGGAATTATTTAGTTACTTTCAGACAGGTACATGTGGACCCCCTTAAAGTGCATGGGCCATATATTCCAAAGTCCAGCCTCTGTCCCAATCTGTACCTGACATTTTTCTTGCAGGTTCAACCAGTCCAACAGTTTCAACAGCTTACGACTTAATATTAGCAAACTTTGCTTTCAAGTCTGTTTTAATCAAATATGTATTTGAAGTTTTAATTTTGAAATAAACTTAAAACACAATACTGTTTTTTGTTACCTCTGATTTAGTAAGGTTCACTGCGAAAACTTTCTGGACCTGTCAATCCTCAGTCTTCGATATTATATGAGATCTTTTTTTGAAAAATTATGATATACATCGGTGAAATTTGTTCCTAGAGATAAAGTAAACAGACAATTGAGAGTGTTTGTGTTGTACAGGTATTGATGCTGCCCGTAGACTTGGAGTAGAGCCTATCCTCACAGCTAAGGAGATGTGTGATCCTGAAGTCGATCATATCGGGATCATGGCATATGCAGCGTACTTCGGAAACTTCAAGCCTGTTCGCACAGCAGCAGAAAAAGTTGTGATGGAAGCAGGGCCAAGAAATGTTTACATTGACCAAGAGGTAATAGGGGTATCCAACAGGGGAAATACAGCAAAGATATATAGGATTCCAATCTATTGCATGAAAGATTTGCATTTCAAAGAAGATTTGTAGATTGGTTTACTCAATAACCTTGCCATGAAAATGAGTTTGATTTATTTGTGTAATTTTGCTTGTTTTAGGCGGATTTCTCATTACGTATTGATGATACTGAGCTAGTGTCATCAGATGTGAGGGCAGAGATAAAGGGGCCTGACTCCAACCCTCCAGTCCACTTCAACTGGGTGGGGAGTCGTGCAACAGGAACATTTACTCCTACAGAGACGGGGCACCACAGGGTCAGCAACTTATTTCTTACACAAGTTTATACGGAATTTCTGCGATCCTGTAATGTTAATCCTCAGTCCTTGGTTTCCTAGTTTTACTGGTAACTTTTCTGTGTCCATACTTACGCAGTTCTCTCCCTTCATGCCTCAGATGATAAAAAGCTTTTCACTCAATTTTTCAGTTTGGAAACTAGGGATTATAGAAATTATAGTTACTAAATATGATAATGTAGTAGATCAAAAATTTCCATTGTGTTTGTAAATTTTAGAAGCCAGTGAGAAATCTGTAGTGTTAGGGTATTTCTATGGCTTACTGGTTACACATCGGAAAATACTAACAACAAAAACTGCATTGGAAATAAATTTCCCATTGGTCGTGGCTGCATTTGCAAAAAATCAATAACACTTGAAGTTGTCTTTAAATATTAGAAATAATCAGTTATATAACTTGAATAGAGTGAAAAATTAAATTACTATGAACTATCATGATTTATATCAACTTTAAAAGCTGCGGGCATATTGTGCATTTTTGAAAACCTAGATACTGTAACTTTTATTATTTTGCTGAGTTTTTGAACAATCCAAAGTAGCTTTGAAATGGATTTGTTTTACAGCTGAATGTCTATTGTGAAAACTCCCTCATTGTTGGATGTCCAGTGTCCTTCAAAGTGATTGCTGACAGATCAAGAGTCAGATACATTGGCCCGGACAAATGCTCGGCTGGTCTTATCTCTGAACTGAAGGTGAGTAATTAAACCAAGTCTGTGTTCATGTCAAGATATAATTACTTCATTAATTTGTCTCCTACATCAGTCAGTACTGACTTCTCCGACTTTGTTTCTTGTTACTATTTAACAGATTGGTATCATGCTAACTCAATACACATCTTATTTAGGAACTTTCATCTAAACATCGGAGCCTGAATGTTTATGAAGTAGCTTTTGGTCTGTTTACATTGGTTAGGTATATTCTACTACTAAATATTTCAGTAAATTTTTTGTTTGGTTTTTCTATCAGATAGAAGCATGGTTCAGAATATATACATATACATACTAGGTCTGAAATGATCAGATATATGATAACTATCCAATTTATTGATTTATGGGGCCTATGTACCTTCCCATCTCAAACATTTCTTTTGATCACTTTGGATATTCTGCGCCACCTCTAAGTTTGCAAACTTTAGCCCTGAAAACATCACTGATAAGTCTAGGACAAGACAGTTGTATGATTCAGCATAATTAATCATTTAACACTATTACTATATCTTATTCTAAATTTGTATTAAAAAGGTGCAATTCACTTGAATGTCTTTTGTACATACAATCTTTGAAAGTCCTCTGCCTTTGTATGTTTGAACAGTGCAATTTTATTTTATTTATCCTTGACCCACGGAAGGTCTATCAATATTGCAGAAGAGTGGGATCATAGGTCAGCAGGGGTCAGATCCTATAAAAGTAGCTGCCTTAGTAATGATTTACATGGTGTATCTTAATTGAGTGTGAATTATCAGTACTTATCACATAAATATATTTTGTATGTGACGTTTGTCTTCAGGTTGATGTGACGAGTGCAGGACAGGGTGACATTCAGTGTGAGGCAAGAGCTCCTAATGGACGTTCAGTCAACTTGGCTGCTGTGTACCGACATGGAAACTACGTGATGAACTTTACACCAACAGAAGTTGGTAGGTTATAGGAACCCTGTCTTCATATTACTGTCTTCACAATAAAAAAAAATTGTCAGTGTATGAACTCCTTTAAAATATGAATTTTATGAATTGACATGTGCGATGTTTGTGTCGTACATAACTGTGAATTAGGCTTCAACATGCTCAGTAAGATTTGATTGGTGTTTGAAAAATGATTAAAAGTATAAAATCTATGATATCGTGCTCCTGATGTGTAATATCTGTGTTCTAGGTCTTTGGCAGGTATCAGTGCTGTACGATGGAGAACATATTTCAGACAGTCCGTTCAATGTGATGGTGTTTGACCCATCTAAAGTCCGGGTATATGGATTGGAAGGCGGTGCTGTTGGGATGGGACTCAAGTTCCACTGTATGTAATAAGCTTACAAGTGTTTTTTTCTGCATTTAAAGAAAATACTTTATACTGGGAAACATTTGCATAGTTTTGTCACCCTGACATAAAATGTTTTATTTTTGACCAGTGATTAATTTATCTTAATATACAAAACATCTCATATTTACAACTTTGATATCAAACTTTAATTTTCATCCAGATGGCAAACAGATAAATTGAAAGATAAACTGCTATGATGAGAGTTTCCTGTATATTTTTTTGTTTCGTTCATGTGTTAGCACTTTCATCATCTTATAAAGCAACAAAGATTTATGTAAAATTGTAGTTCTGAGTTATCTCCCTTGAAAGCAATAGTACATCAAGAGACTTGATGAGTAAGATGATGATGGAATCTTGAGCCTGGTTTAATTATTGCTGTGATGAATGTCATTCAAAGTAGAGATACTGACTTATATTTAGAAAACAGTTTTCTCCGCACTAAGAAATACATGAATCAGTGTCATTAACATTTCCTAGATCATTCTCTTTCTTCCATGAATTAACTTCATATTTACATGTATATGGATTTTTGTTTATGATGGAAAATGGAATTATATAAAAAGATTTCCATATCTAGCAGAAAATTATTCAAACTCCATTAGGAATAGTATCATGTGGTGCTAAGTTTTGAGTTTGTTATAATTCTTGTAATGATGATGTGTTATATAGCTGACACATCAGAAGCTGGAACAGGGGAAGTAACTGTGCAGGTGTCTTGTAATGGCTCACATGTCCCAGCCTACATCCATCAGGACCGAGTGGGGCTGTATAGTATTGACTTTACACCCCAGGGGGCTGGCACATACAAGGTCGAGGTTTACTTCAATGACATGGAGGTCAGAGGTCAGTATATTTAAAGTAATGAAAATATAATTTTAAATAAGTGCTAGCTATACACTCAGTTTTGTGTAGAATTAATTTGCAACTTTTTATTATGACCGTTTTTTGAAGGGAAAACTTTGAACAAGTTCTGCTTTTTGATAAGAAAATCGAAACCTGAAGGAGAAACATGTTGAGCTGTGTCAGCATGTAAACACATTATGTTTGTTTTTAAGTACAATTTTCAAACCCTGAAGGAACGATTGATACAACAAGCTACAGTTGAACTTAAGTCTTTATACCAATATCATGTTGACATTCTAATGGGGCTTGTTTACAGATATGAGAATTGATGTTGTCTAATGTCATTATAATGAATGTTTCCCATTGTTAAAGGCTCACCCTACACCCTGGAGATTGTGGATTCTGCCCAGGTTACTGTTTCCGGTGATGGCCTCAGCTTGGTTCCGGTCAATCGCACTGCAAGTTTTGTTGTTGACACTCAGGGATCTGGGTCAGGCAATGTGGATGTGGAAATAATGGGTAAGTGTTTCTATGGTTGTTTATTGAGGAGTATTGTACGTATGTGGGTGTGTAGATGTGGGGTGAGGGCTGATGTGTGTATATGGGTGTGTAGATGTGGGGTGAGGGCTGGTGTGGGTATGTGGGTGTGTAGATGTGGGGTGAGGGCTGATCTGTAGTAGATGTGGGGTGAGGGCTGGTGTGGGTATGTGGGTGTGTAGATGTGGGGTGAGGGCTGGTGTGTGTATGTGGATGTGTAGATGTGGGGTGAGGGCTGGTGTGGGTATGTGGGTGTGTAGATGTGGGGTGTGTATGTGGATGTGAAGATGTGGGGTGAGGGCTGGTGTGTGTATGTAGATGTGTAGATGTTGGGTGAGGGCAGGTGTGTGTATGTGGATGTGAAGATGTGGGGTATGTGGATGTGAAGATGTGGGGTGAGGGCTGGTGTGTGTATGTGGGTGTGAAGATGTGGGGTGAGGGCTGGTGTGTGTATGTGGGTGTGAAGATGTGGGGTGTGGGCTGGTGTGTGTATGTGAATGTGTAAATGTGGGGCAAGGTCTGTTGTATGTGAATGTGTAGGTGTGGGGCAAGGTCTGTTGTATGTGGGTGTATATGGGACAAGGGCTGTTGTTTGTATGTAGATGTGAATATGTGGGATGAGGGCTGGAGTGTGAATGTGGGTGTGTAGATGTTGGGTGAGGGCAGGTGTGTGTATGTGGGTGTGAAGATGTGGGGTGTAGGCTGGTGTGTGTATGTGTGTGTGAAGATGTTGGGTGAGGACTGGTGTGTGTATGTGGGAGTGAAGATGTGGGGTGTAGGCTGGTGTGTGTATGTGGGTGTGTACATGTTTGTGTTCAGGCTGCTGTGTGTAAAGATGCATGTAGATAAGGTACTAGATGTATATAGATGTAAGTGAGAGGATAAGAGTGCTTGTATATTGTCCTTCTTTGTAGTGGTTAGTGGATGTAGTTAGTCATGGTTGAATGTCAGTTAGGGGATGGTAAACTGATAGTAACATAGAGTATGTATTTCATTATACTGAATGTTTGTTGTCCATGAAAAGTATCTATAGTTTAATTTCAAAAGTTGAAATTTGTGTTTAATATGTTGTTATGGAAATGGAATTGAATGAAAGTGACTTGTACCATTCAAGATAACACAAGATTGTACTGAAGTCCTTAGCAGCTGTGCTTGATCTGGAGGGTTAAGCCAGTCTACAGAATACCCCTTATGATAGCGTTTATCAACCTATAGTTCTGTCATAATACATAGTTACCCTTTATCTCAACAATAACCCTGATATCTTATGATGACCCTGTCACAAAACAATAACCCTGATATCTTGTGATGACCCTGACACAAAACAATAACCCTATTATTTTATGATGACCCTGATACAAAATAATAACCCAATTCTCTTGTAGTAGTGCTGGTTCAAAAGAAAAACCCATTTTTCTTGTGAAAATCTAATGCAAAACAATAACCCTGTTACCTTAGATAATGCTTGTCAAAAAAGCCCTGTAACCTTAAGATAACCCTGATAAAAAAACAATAACCCCTTTGCCTTGTGATAACCCTGATACAAAACAATAACCCTGTTTTCTTGTAATAACCCAGAAACAAAACAATAACCCAGTTATCTTGTGATAACCCTTATACAAAACAATAACCCCATTGTCTTGTGAAAATCTGATACAAAACAATAACCCTGTTGTCTTGTGATAACCCTGATACAAAACAATAACCCTGTTTTCTTGTGATTACCATGACAAAAAACAACAACCCCTTTGCCTTGTGAAAATCTGATGCAAAACAATAACCCTGTTGCCAATAACCCTGTTGTCATGTGATAACCCTGATAGAAAAAATAACCCTGTTATCTTGTGATAACTCTGATAGAAAACAATAACCCTGTTATCTTGTGATAACTCTGATAGAAAACAATAACCCTGTTATCTTGTGATAACCCTGATAGAAAAAATAACCCTGTTACCTTGTGATAACTCTGATAGAAAACAATAACCCTGTTATCTTGTGATAACTCTGATAGAAAACAATAACCCTGTTATCTTGTGATAACTCTGATAGAAAACAATAACCCTGTTATCTTGTGATAACTCTGATAGAAAACAATAACCCTGTTATCTATAGAAAACAATAACCCTGTTATCTTGTGATAACCCTGATAGAAAACAATAACCCTGTTATCTTGTGATTACCATGATAGAAAACAATAACCCTGTTATCTTGTGATAACTCTGATAGAAAACAATAACCCTGTTATCTTGTGATAACTCTGATAGAAAACAATAACCCCATTATCTTGTGATTACCATGATAAAACAATAACCCCGTTATCTTGTGAATACCATGATAAAACAATAATAAAACAATAAAACAATAACCCTGTTATCTTGTGATTACCATGATAAAACAATAACCCTGTTATCTTGTGATAACCCTGATAGAAAACAATAACCCTGTTATCGTGTGATTACCATGATAAAACAATAACCCTGTTATCTTGTGATTACCATGATAAAACAATAACCCTGTTATCTTGTGATTACCATGATAAAACAATAACCCTGTTATCTTGTGATTACCATGATAAAACAATAACCCTGTTATCTTGTGATAACCCTGATAGAAAACAATAACCCTGTTATCTTGTGATTACCATGATAAAACAATAACCCCGTTATCTTGTGAATACCATGATAAAACAATAACCCCGTTATCTTGTGATTACCATGATAAAACAATTACCCCGTTGTCTTGTGATTACCATGATAAAACAATAACCCTGTTATCTTGTGATTACCATGATAAAACAATAACCCTGTTATCTTGTGATTACCATGATAAAACAATAACCCTGTTATCTTGTGATTACCATGATAAAACAATAACCCTGTTATCTTGTGATTACCATGATAAAACAATAACCCCGTTATCTTGTGATTACCATGATAAAACAATAACCCCGTCATCTTGTGATTACCATGATAAAACAATAACCCTGTTATCTTGTGATTACCATGATAAAACAATAACCCCGTTATCTTGCGATTACCATGATAAAACAATAACCCTGTTATCTTGTGAAAGCTCTGGTCCAAAACAAATTTTAATGAACACTCCATTTATCATCAGATCATTTAGGTTTGGTTAAGGAAGTTTGTGCAGTAATATAAATAAAAGTATGATTTTATAAAAACATCATTGTAGTACTATCGATCCATTGTTTTAATAGTGGTCCTTTATATTTACTGTTATCTGGTCACTGTTGTTTTGTACATACAAGATATTTTGAAAATTTACAATTTCCTTTAGTAATTAGGCAATAAGTCCATGTCTGTTAATAAGTCCGACAGAATGGTGGAGAGTTCCCCGTTATGTTTGGGCGTTTTGTTTAGTCGTCAATGAAAACTTCGTCGTGATTTGTACCAAATTGTGTGACAATAACACTTACTGATTACTGACAATTAACCTTTTGCCTGACCTCTGATGTTTATACAATAACTGATCATCAGTACAAGGTTAACCACTGTCAGGATCTCGGTAACAAGCATGTAGGAAGATACAAAAAAGTCAGACATAGGAATCCCTACATGGTGCTTTGATTTTGTGATGATAACTCTGTAATGTAATATCATTTTTCATTTACTTCCCCGGTTTTAATTCAATCAAAAGTGCAATAAAGATAAATTCATTTTTTTGTCAGTTTGATTTGAGTCATGGTCACAAAAGGTGTTAAAATTTTAAAAAGTTGGCATAAAATTGGGGAGAAAAAGGGATATTTCACAAATGTTAATTAAAGAAATTATGGATTAATATGGAAGAAATTATATAACAATACTATTATAGCTAGAATTGAATTTACTAGTTATTTTGTGTGAAATGGAAAAAATATCAACCATCACAAAATCAAAGTGGTTATGTAGAGCAGTGCATGTCATTAACAAACATTATCCCTACAACAAGTCACTAAAGTCACATCAGAAAACAATATGTACGGAAACAAGAACATAGATAATAGACTTAAAGGGAGTTAACTCCGGAGTCATTATTATAAAACCTAATGTAGACCTGAACTTTGAAGCAATGTATTTATTTCTAATTGATTAACTTTAATTGATGAACACTTTTATTGTTTTATCGTTTAAAGTTACCAACCATAAACAGAAAAGTCTTACAGATTTCGCCTCTGATTCTTGGTTTTTAGAGTTGAAGTGTGATTATTTGAAACCTTCACTGAGTATGAGAATCAATCTTGAGCTGTATAAGTTTTTGTTTTCACACAGTTCATTTTCAGTTGATTTCTTTATTTTGAGATAAAAACATATGTCACATGATGTTAGATGGCATGTGTTGGGTTTTCTTTCTTCACAAAATCACTTTGATAAAAAAGCAAAAACCGTTTTTTGTCTTATGAATACAGAATAATTAGCTAATATTAATGAAATTTGGAATTGAAGAAAAACCAATTAAACTGAAGAAATAACATCTAAATTATTGCATGTTTCTAACATGATAATAATTCTGCATCGTGTTTCTGCTCTACTGAATCTGCCTCAAATACTGAGAGCATACATATAGATATATATATACTTATACTTGCATCTTGTCCTTAACATTAATGAAAATTACACTGGAAACATACGCAATGCTTTCCATTAATAGTCCTAATCTTGGGCTGCTGTGCAAGATTTTGGTTTGCGGCTATTTTTATGAGAACCGTGGAAACAAGAAATGATTTCCGTTCTTCATCATTGAAGGATTAAATCGCGCCGTTAGTGATGATAATTCTGCGCTTGTTGTAATCTCCAGTATGAATATTCTGGCTTTTTAAAACTGGCCAATCATAATGAAGCATGAAGATCTTCTGCACTCACCACTGTACTGCACTCACTGGGTTGATGTAATTCGATTGGTGCATTAGTGAGGTAAGTCTGGGTACAATTATTTAGTTTGATTTGATTGGAGAAGGATGATGGTGTGTTTACAACTATATTATTTTGTGTATGTTTGCATGTAATGCATGTTATTTGCTTATTTTTTATATTTATTATTTTTATCAAGATATATTAATATATAATTTTTATTTTATTTATATTTTACCATGATTGTAAACATCTGGTAATTCTTGATATAAATTGAGTATTTGTTAAATAACATCTAGGGAAGCAGAGAGTTAAGTCTAGTGTGTGTACTAGTATTATTGTCACATCTAAACATGGTGATTTTGTTAAGACAACCTTTGATAAGTAGAGTGGACCAAAAAATCTACCAACGAAATACCAATGATGATAATTAATGTAAAATTAAACAACATTTCAAAACAGGTGTAAACACACCATCCATCGTCAATTTATTAGTATTTAATAATTTAGCATGAATTGTGATGTCAGTATAAGTAGATTTGATCCTAAGTTCGGTGAATGTTTTAGTTAGACCTATATTGTGCATGATATACATACTCAGCTTTTCTTGTATAGTCTAAAGTTTCTGTCACATGGTTTGGTCGTAGTATCTATTGATATCATTAGTTAACATATTGATAAATATTCCATGTAGAATAAATGACAGATACTAATATTTTTCATACAAACTGAAAAGCAAATTTAAGAATTTAGTATTTTTATTTTTTAAGATTTTTTTCTGAGTATTTTCATTGTGATTATTCCACAAAGAATTTTTTAATAGTACCAGCATATTCTGTAATATTGTAGACTGGTTTATGTTTTAGATTTTGAAGAGAACAAATTTTTGAAGAAAAAAAAAATTTCCTAAGAGGTTTACACAACTAAAATATTACCTAGGTAGTTTGTACAGAAATGATGAAGTAACCAATCACCTTTGTGTAATGTATGATTCGGAATTGTTGATCAGTTTTTGGGACCAGATTGAAATAGATTTATCTCGGCATAGCCTATGAAATTCAAGGCTGACTTTGTAAGAACGAGTTGAAATATCCACAGATTTTTCTGTGTTGACGCCAGTATTGGATTTGTAATATTTAGTTAAAAATATAGTTATAATTTTTTGTTGTAATTGTGCTCTAATTTGTAGTAAAACATTTTCATTTGTTTCTGTACTTTCTTGCCTCGGATCTCCATGCAACCAAGTATAGAAAATAAATGGATATGAAAAAAAGATTAACGAATTTTAATTTGGATTGATACGTTAAAAAAAAAAAAACGGTATTGGAAAAAAAGTCATGATTGAATAGAAGTTTTTACAGTAAGACCCCTCGTGTGCTTCCATCGGGGCTAACAAGAGTTATTAACATAAGTTGGAAAAACTTGTTTCGTGATTGTTGTAAAATAAGTAAAGTTTTTTATCTATTATTTTGAAGTTATCACAACCAGTAGAAGATTAGAGTGTGTTGTTTCAATGACTACACAGTCACCATCTGACAAATGCAATGATGGTGACCATATAGTTATCAACTGGTTGTGTTATAAGATGAAGGTGACAGTGTAGACATCGAAATGTTACACGCTAATCTTCTACTGGTTGTGTTATAAGATGAAGGTGACAGTGTAGACATCGAAATGTTACACGCTAATCTTCTACTGGTTGTGTTATAAAATGAAGGTGACAGTGTAGACATCGAAATGTTACACGCTAATCTTCTACTGGATGTGTTATAAGAACTTCTATTCTATTGACATTACCAACCCGGAGAAAATGTTCAGGAATATGAAATAATATGATTTATGGTCGTACAGAGTTATAGGTGTAAATGTGAGGGCTCATCAAGATAAAAATGTTGTATTACAGCACCATCAGGCGCTAAGGTAAAATCCATGGTGACTAAAGACAGAGGTCAACACCATATTGAGTACTCCCCTACAGAATCAGGTGAGACAGGTTTACTATCATCTGTAAGGACATATCTGCTCTTCCTGAAAGTTCTAATTTACTTTCTATCATCATTTTTTACCTGTCTCTATGGTTACAGGTTATGTACTAGATAGACAGGAGGATTTTTTCTTGTTTATGACAATATTTAATTTATATTATTATACAAATTAAAGTAGGTGCTCTAAACATATTCTGATAATAGATATTTCACTCATGTAACCTTAAATGTTAAGTTCATAAAATTTTAAAAAACACTAAAGGGAAATTTTACTGACTGAAATTCCTAGCACAGTGTTTTTGTCAAAATGTGATTTTGTGTTTGAATATCATTTGGAGATATGATATTTGAATTGATACTTTTTATGTATGATCATATAAACAAGCAATTTATCTACTCGTAGGGGACCATCAGATCTTTGTATCGTTCTGTGAGCAGCCCCTACAGGGCAGCCCCTTCATCTGTCGTGTTTATGATGTCGGTCAGGTAGTTATCACCAACATGCCAAATTTTGCCTCCATTGGGAAGACGGTCAAGTTTCAAAGTAAGTTGTTAGTGGAGTGCACTAAGTACTGTACAGTTGGGTATATTTGCAAGGAATTTAATTTCGCTATATTCACAGTCAAGGTTGAGGGAAATTAATTGATTCACAATTCTACAGTGAATCAAAATATCGGATAATATCTGCCCGAATACACTTTTACCAATGTGATATTTATCTGGTGACTTTTACAAAATGTCTTTTCTGTAATAATGGACAAGTTTTGGTTGAAATATAATGATTTTAGAATGACCTGAAAGGAGGTCCTTAGGGAGTAAATATCAATAAGATGAAGCTATGTACTAACTGGTGTGCTAACACATAAATGGCTTTTGATTTGATTGATAAATGTAGATTTAGATGTATTTTGTTTGTTGTCTGATTGCGAAACATAAGTAATAAGGAGGCTGAATATGCTAAGAGTAATATTTTGTCATATTTCAATTTTTTGTAGTTTAATAAAAAAATTTGATCCAAAGATGATAACATTTTCATGGAAGCCATGAAATAGATAATAATGTGTCACCTTATTATTGTGAGTGGATTCTATCCTATTAAAATGTGAAAAACACTCAAAAATCACAGTTTCTAAAGTATAGAGTAATGTTTAGATAAAAAAATAGAAATTGGATGTAGTAAAATAATCCTAAACGGTTTGTTTCAGTTGATGCCTCCAAGGCTGGCTCTGGTAATATAGAGATCATGGTAAACGATGGTCGTATTCCATGTAGTGTACAGAATCTGGGCAATTACTGCTTCAACGCTTCCTTCGTACCTGACAACATTGACCCTCATATCATACAGATGAAGTTTAACAATAAACCTGTGACTGGTAAGTTTCTTGGTTTGACAATAACCCTGTGACAGGTAAGTTTCTTTGTTTGACAATAACCCTGTGACTGGTAAGATTCTTGGTTTGACAATAACCCTTTGACTAGTAAGTTTCTTGGTTTGACAATAACCCTGTGACTGGTAAGTTTCTTTGTTTGACAATAAACCTGTGACTGGTAAGTTTCTTGGTTTGACAATATCCCTGTGACTGGTAAGTTTCTTGGTTTGACAATAACCCTGTGACTGGTAAGTTTCTTGGTTTGACAATAACCCTTTGATATTTAGTTTACTTTTGTACTGCTATGTGGGAAATTTGAAGATAAATAATTTCTTGAAGAACATTTATGAAACCAGGACATTAGCAGATAAATATCAGTACATCTGTGGTCTTTCTTAACGCTGAAAATATTCAAGGCTTAAGATGATTTATGATATGTATGTGTCTTTTAAATCAGGCTAAAGCCAAATGCTTGCTTCCTGCTTCCTTAAGGATGTTATTGGTTTCAATCCTGAAAAAAAGACACGTTTGAAATTTGTTAAGACCAGTTGTATTGAACAACAGATAACATACATCCTGAAAATACAAAGACAGCTGGTAGTTTTGGATAAAGGTCTGTATTATGAAATAAGTCGACACTTTTATCCTGACTGGGAGGGACCAGGAGTGATAGAACTAACAGTATGTTAAGTCAGAACTACATCTTCTATAAAACAGGGAGTCCTTGGAAAATCCCGATCCTGGACATGAAGAAAGCTCTGAAGATTAGAAGTGAGGCTGACAGTTACGTACTGTGTGATCGTACGGCCAGATTTGAGGTGGAGTTTGATGGAGATTTGAAGGATACCTTTGATATACAGATTAGAGGTAAAAAGTATCACATTTGAAATTCAAAATTAAAGATAAATATTTTTTAATGGTGTTGTTAGTTTCCTCAGCGTACATTTTCTGCTGTCTAATTTCTTTTTCAGACAACCACAGTGCTCTGGTTATAACTTTTTGCTTGTAGCTTATAGTAGAGAATACATATCGCTCATACCTTATAGTTGAGAATAAATATCAGATTTATTTAAATAAACGACCTTATTATGTCAGCATTAAAATTGTTAAAAATTTCAAAAGGCCATCAACAACAGCAAAATCTGCATTGTAGCTCACAAGGGCATGGATATAGGTATCACTTATGTTTAGATTTATAACATGGACGTGGGTTTAAATTTACTTTTACCTTGAAAGGACTCCAGGTACAGGGTAAGGATGTTTGGCCAGTGGTATGCGGTTGTGAAGTTTATCCAAATGTAATTGAAAGCTTATAAAGATTTAAACCAAGGTCTGAACCACTGCTGACAAAAGTGATTAATTTTAATATTAAAGATTGTTTAACTAATAAAATCTGATATGATCACTGTCTAGTGTGATTGGCAGATAAAGTAAAAAATGACCAATAATGACTACCCAGGTAATCGTCCTGGGTTGATTAAATCACCATATTAGTCAGTGGATTGTTTAGTAGCCAAAGAGTAGGAACCAGTAATAAACAGTGCTTTATCTTTCTTGTGTCAAGCAAAGATAAAAAAAATAAGAAATATTTTAGCTATGATTTTAATTAAGATATATTTTGAGATAATTTCTAGGTTATTATGTATTTGTTTTTTAGTATACCTGTAGACCCTGACAAGCTTTCACTCTTTAGTTGCCTTGCTTATCTGTTCTGTTGTCATTGCACATAAACATACTAACAATAAACAGTACATACTCAGTTTTTATTCCTTGCTGCTGGAAACAGTTTTAGTCTCTGTATCATTGTCTAGTATTAAGTCATTTGGTAATTCATTTTTAAGTTGAAATGCTTATTAGATTTTAAGTGAAAAATTTTTACAATTTAAACTTTTTGAAGAGAAAAAATGTCATTGTGTGACTTCTAAACATCCACATATTTGTAAAGTGTTTGGAGTATAAATCTATTTCCTGATCCTGGAGAGATGTGAACAAATTTCTGTCAGTCACTAGGTGTGCTGTTGATAGTATCATTGTGTGACTTCTAAACATCCATATATTTGTAAAGTGTTTGGAGTATAAATCTATTTCCTGATCCTGGAGAGATGTGAACAAAGTTCGGTCAGTCACTAGGTGTGCTGTTACTAATATCATTGTGTGACTTCTAAACATCCATATATTTGTAAAGTGTTTGGAGTATAAATCTATTTCCTGATCCTGGGAGATGTGAACAAAGTTCGGTCAGTTACTAGGTGTGCTGTTAAAAGTATCATACCTTTATTGTGCCTTTAAGTTTACAGACACTTGCATAAAAAAAATCATATCCATAATTTCAGTCAGGAGAGTGGGGATGTGAGTCTACATATTTATCAATTGGATATTAGACCTTCTGTTGCCCTCTAGTAGACAATGGATTTCTTGTTTCTAAACTCCCCATCAGACATCAGATTTCCTGCATATAAATTCCCAGGTGAACATGAGAACTTCTGTTTATAAACTCTCAGGTGAACATGAGAACTTCTGTTTATAAATTCCCAGGTGAACATGAGAACTTCTGTTTATAAATTCCCAGGTGAACATGAGAACTTCTGTTTATAAACTCCCAGGTGAACATGAGAACTTCTGTTTATAAATTCCCAGGTGAACATGAGAACTTCTGTTTATAAACTCTCAGGTGAACATGAGAACTTCTGTTTATAAACTCCCAGGTGAACATGAGAACTTCTGTTTATAAATTCCCAGGTGAACATGAGAACTTCTGTTTATAAACTCTCAGGTGAACATGAGAACTTCTGTTTATAAACTCTCAGGTGAACATGAGAACTTCTGTTTATAAATTCCCAGGTGAACATGAGAACTTCTGTTTATAAACTCTCAGGTGAACATGAGAACTTCTGTTTATAAATTCCCAGGTGAACATGAGAACTTCTGTTTATAAATTCCCAGGTGAACATGAGAACTTCTGTTTATAAACTCCCAGGTGAACATGAGAACTTCTGTTAATAAACTGTGGAGTATAAAAGAAACGATCCATACCTCGAGCTCTGTTTGCTCTTAATGTCAAGAAAATAATACCGAACAATCAAATTGGCTGAAAAATCTTGGCATACCCTTTTTTAGAATAGGGAATCCGTGTATTCTTTAACCTAGTTTAATTAATATGTACATATAAAAATTTCATAATAACATATTTGGAGCAAAGGTAAGCGAAACTACGACATACTGGCCTAGGAGGCCAGGCGCCACCCGAGAAATGTTACTATCCTGTAATAAGTTTTTATCTGTAAAAATAAAATAACAGATACAAAGTTATTGAAAATATTAAAATTTTGTACGTTACGAGACACATACATTTACTTTGGTTGAAATTTCTGTTGATGACGAATTTAAAATATTTTGAGTCGCCCAAGTTTGTGTTATCATGTGAAGATGATGCTGATCATGATTATATATTTATTTGAGATTTTGATTTCAGTATTATGATAATCCTTTGTATTTTATTTTTCAGAAGAACAATTTATTTAGTGTTGTCTGCATGCCTTTTGTAGTTTGAGCACCTTTATTTTTCTTTCATTTACTATTGTAATATACAGATTGGTTCTAATAAACAGGATATATCAAACACTCTAGTTTTACTGTGTTTTCTTTTCACTTTTAACCTTAATGTGACCTTTTTTTCCCTGTCCTGTGTAGTATTTACAAGTCAAAACCTTAGTCAGATTTCCTATATTAAACTCCTAGCTGTGCCATAGTAAACTTAAGGGGTCATCGTTAATATTCCTGTTTAGTTTGTCCGTGTTGAAGCTAGTCACAGATTCACAGTAGTACTTGTTTAGGAGATATTGACATACACTGTATATACAAACCTAAATACAATGTACTACAGATACCAATATGAGAATTGGAACATGGCCTATTCCCCACCCTTAGCTGCTTCAGGTGTTACTAAAATTTCAAAAGCTAATGACTGTTAAATACTGTAGGATGTTTAGAATTTGGAACTCTAGTCCCAACACAAGACTGTTGTAGTCAAAAATGTTGGAAATTTATCAATGTATAAATCAGAAGATAATTGTACCTTGTATACATATGTTATCAGGTGTGATTGTTTTGTTTGAAGGGTGTGAACATGAGTGAGATTTGTTAGAAATATAAAGACAATCTTTATAATTTTCTATTTCTTTTCTGTAACTTTTTGTTTCTATTTGACTAACATAATCTGGATTGATACCAAGTGATGTATCTAAAATCACAAAATAATGAGGTTGTTAAATTTTGAAATTTGTTATGTTTTAATTGTAGCTCCTGGAGGGGGAACTGTGCCGTTCAATATTGTGCAGGATAGCGGACAACAGACTATTGAGTATGTCCCTGAAGATGTCGGTATGTGATCCAATTCATCGCTTCTCTCTGTACTGCTGATTGCCCAACAACTTGTTTTGTTTGATAGATTTTATATCAGAATTTTTTTGAAAATCAAAAAATAAAAAAAAAAACGATAGAAACTTGTGTTTGCTTGAATGCTTCGGACTTAGGCGACTGTTACTGTATAATTCTGATCTGTTTATAGGTGACCACCAGATTAACCTGAAGTACATGGGAAATGACGTCGACGGCAGTCCATTTACTGCCAAGGCCTACGATACATCCGCCATCATTATCACTCCACTCAAAAATGGTCTGGTGGGATCATCATTTGACTTTACAAGTAAGTTTGTCAGAACGATTGCCAAATCAAAAACATCACTATTCTTTATTTTAACATCAGAAATAGATCATTAAAAAATACAAAGCAAATAAAAAAGTAATGATTTGGGCAGATGTGATATATAATGATAAATCTACAAACTGGAAATTTGTCATTGGACGCTGATAGCATTTCTCATTCAACTCCAGCTGTCTTAGTCAATAACCCTCGAACTCTGGGTCACAGGCTCAAGGCCTACATGGGACAGTGACAGGTACTGTCCGCTGGTGGGTGATTTATCTCTCAGACAACCAGGAATGGGACGTTAAGCAGCACTAAACTAAACTTTGAACACAATAATTAATGAGATGATCATTTCTCTATAAACATATCATTTTAATTGTTTATTAGATGTTCAGACCTGGAGACACCTATAGTTTGTCCATGGTGACAGTTGATATGAAATGTTGACATCAGTATTATGTTCATGGTTGATGAATGTTGACATGTTGTCTTTGTGGTGGCAGTTGATGTGTCACGCGCTGGAGAGGGACAGCTTGAGATTATGGTGAACAATGGCAACCTACCCAACACAGTGGAGCTGGAGCGCCCCAGTGTATATCGCATCACCTTCACACCGACTAGTGCCGGCAAACAATATGTTGACATCAATTTCAACAGTGAATCACTACCAGGTAAATTTGTTTATCAAGGAGTAGAATAGAGTGATATTTTCACTCCTGATTGTTTAAAAAAATGTTCTATCTTGTTAGAAGTTATGAGGTGCTTTGTAGGTCCCTTAACCACTATCTGGACAGACAGTAAATGTCCTTTAAACACATTATCTGGACACACAGTAAATGTTCTTTAAACACCGTATCTTGACAGACAGTAAAAGTCCTTTAAACGCTATCTGGACAGACAGTAAATGTCCTTTAAACACAGTATCTGGACAGACAGTAAATGTCCTTTAAACACATTATCTGGACACACAGTAAATGTTCTTTAAACACCGTATCTTGACAGACAGTAAAAGTCCTTTAAACACTATCTGGACAGACAGTAAATGTCCTTTAAACACAGTATCTTGACAGACAGTAAATGTCCTTTAAACACTATCTGGACAGACAGTAAATGTCATTTAAACACATTATCTGGACACACAGTAAATGTTCTTTAAACACCGTATCTTGACAGACAGTAAAAGTCCTTTAAACACTATCTGGACAGACAGTAAATGTCCTTTAAACACAGTATCTGGACAGACAGTAAATGTCCTTTAAACACTATCTGGACAGACAGTAAATGTCCTTTAAACATTATCTGGACAGATAGTAAATGTCCTTTAAACACCGTATCTGGACAGACAGTAAATGACCTTTAAACACAGTATCTGGACAGACAGTAAATGTCCTTTAAACACAGTATCTGGACAGACAGTAAATGTCCTTTAAACACAGTATCTGGACAGACAGTAAATGTCCTTTAAACACTATCTGGACAGACAGTAAATGTCCTTTAAACACAGTATCTGGACAGACAGTAAATGTCCTTTAAACACTATCTGGACAGATAGTAAATGTACTTTAAACACAGTATCTTGACAGACAGTAAAAGTCCTTTAAACACTATCTGGACAGACAGTAAATGTCCTTTAAACACAGTATCTGGACACACAGTAAATGTTCTTTAAACGCTATATGGACAGGCAGAAAATGTTCTTTAAACACCTTATCTGGACAGACAGTAAATGTCCTTTAAACACTATCTGGACAGACAGTAAATGTCCTTTAAACACAGTATCTGGACAGACAGTAAATGTCCTTTAAACACTATCTGGACAGATAGTAAATGTCCTTTAAACACAGTATCTTGACAGACAGTAAAAGTCCTTTAAACGCTATCTGGACAGACAGTAAATGTCCTTTAAACACAGTATCTGGACACACAGTAAATGTTCTTTAAACGCTATATGGACAGGCAGAAAATGTTCTTTAAACACCTTATCTGGACAGACAGTAAATGTCCTTTAAACACTATCTGGACAGACAGTAAATGTCCTTTAAACACTATCTGGACAGACAGTAAATGTCCTTTAAACACCGTATCTGGACAGACAGTAAATGTCCTTTAAACACTATCTGGACAGACAGTAAATGTCCTTTAAACACTATCTGGACAGACAGTAAATGTCCTTTAAACACCGTATCTTGACAGACAGTAAAAGTCCTTTAAACGCCATCTGGACAGACAGGAAATGCCCTTTAAACATTATCTAGACACACAGTATATGTTCTTTAAACACAGTATCTGGACAGACAGAAAATGTCCTTTGTACTTGTGTTGTCAGCCTTGTATTTATCTGATTCTGGATGTCTCTATGACAGGTTCTCCATTTTCCTGCCTGGCGTATGATGGTGCTGGTGTCACACTGACTGGTATGGACAATGTTATTCCAGCCAACAGGTCCACATCTTTCAACATTCAGTGCGAGTCAGATGAGGTTACTCCGGAGGTAGAAGTTAGCTGTAAGTTTTACTCGTCACACTACACAATGTATCACAGACACTATATTGAACATGGAATCTGATTTAGTGAAACATCAAGATGATCTAGAATTAGACATACTAGACCTTGAAATGATAGCTTTTAATGAAAACATATTCTGCAAAATAATGATGTTTTGATCTGTAAAGTGACTTTGGAAAGTAAACTCATGAAGTCATTTATTATTAAAAGAATTTAACCAAATTAGAAAAAACTTCTTTAAACATCACAATTCAAAGTACTGCAAATATATTTTGGCACATTCAAATTTTATTGATGATCAGTATCAACAGATCATTGATCAATCACATGACTGATAAGTTGATATATTGTTTGTGTTTGTCACACGACTGATAAGATGATATATTGTTTATGTTTGTCACACGACTGATAAGATGATATATTGTTTGTGTTTGTCACACGACTGATAAGATGATATATTGTTTGTGTTTGTCACACGACTGATAAGATGATATATTGTTTGTGTTTGTCACACGACTGATAAGATGATATATTGTTTTTGTTTGTCACACGACTGATAAGATGATAAATTGTTTGTGTTTGTCACACGACTGATAAGATGATATATTGTTTGTTTGTCACACGACTGATAAGATGATATATTGTTTGTGTTTGTCACACGACTGATAAGATGATAAATTATTTGTGTTTGTCACACGACTGATAAGATGATATATTGTTTGTGTTTGTCACACAACTGATAAGATGATATATTGTTTGTGTTTGTCACATGACTGATAAGATATATTGTTTGTGTTTGTCACACGACTGATAAGATGATATATTGTTTGTGTTTGTCACACGACTGATAAGATATATTGTTTGTGTTTGTCACACGATTGATAAGATGATATATTGTTTGTGTTTGTCACATGACTGATAAGATATATTGTTTGTGTTTGTCACACGACTGATAAGATATATTGTTTGTGTTTGTCACACGACTAAGATATATTGTTTGTGTTTGTCACACGACTGATAAGATGATATATTGTTTGTGTTTGTCACACGACTGATAAGATATATTGTTTGTGTTTGTCACACGATTGATAAGATATATTGTTTGTGTTTGTCACACGATTGATAAGATGATATATTGTTTGTGTTTGTCACACGATTGATAAGATATATTGTTTGTGTTTGTCACACTTGATCAATAAAACGCATGTTATATTCTATAAGTGGTGGTGATTGTACTTCACTAACTTTTGATGGTTTGTTACTGTGAGGAATGATACAACATTTGCATGAAGTAAAAACTAACAGATGTTAAAGCATGGATGAACTGTTGTTGTATGTTTACTGCATGTGTTTCTGGATTTTTACCCTATATAAACCATTATAGTGTGACCTGATGGTCACAATCTCTCGGGTTTTAAAGCAATGTGTGAAAGTCTTTGGTAACTCTAATTGAGTGTACCATGTGACCAGATAATCTCTGGTCCCCCTCATTTTATGTGTCATTTGACATGATGGTACAGTCTCATCTGTAGTAATGTTATTTGTATACACCAGTAATTCTCCAGTCCAACTTATTGAATGTGTGACCTTATAATTCCTGGCCCCACTAAAATTTTGTGTACCATATGACCTGACAGTACAGTCCCACCTATAGTAATGTTATTTGTGTACAACAGTAAGTCTCCAGTCCCACTAATTTTATGTACCATGTGACCTGATGTTACAGCCCCATCTGTAGTAATGTTATTTGTGTACAACAGTAAGTCTCCAGTCCCACTAAGTTTATGTACCATGTGACCTGATGTTACAGCCCCATCTGTAGTAATGTTATTTGTGTACAACAGTAAGTCTCCAGTCCCACTAAGTTTATGTACCATGTGACCTGATGTTACAGCCCCATCTGTAGTAATGTTATTTGTGTACAACAGTAAGTCTCCAGTCCCACTAAGTTTATGTACCATGTGACCTGATGTTACAGCCCCATCTGTAGTAATGTTATTTGTGTACAACAGTAAGTCTCCAGTCCCACTAAGTTTATGTACCATGTGACCTGATGTTACAGCCCCATCTGTAGTAATGTTATTTGTGTACAACAGTAAGTCTCCAGTCCCACTAAGTTTATGTACCATGTGACCTGATGTTACAGCCCCATCTGTAGTAATGTTATTTGTGTACAACAGTAAGTCTCCAGTCCCACTAATTTTATGTACCATTTGACCTGATGTTACAGCCCCATCTGTAGTAATATTTTACGTATAAGACTACATTTGCACAACCCAGTTGAAAAGGTTGAGATGGTCTGGACAACTCTACACTAATGTACATATACTGGATGTGGGACCTGATATATGTAAATCTCAAAATGCACAGTTTCAGAATTTCCTGTCAAACAATTAACTAAAATTAAGATACCATCCATTTCCCCCATACTTTATAGCACAATGCTTCCAGAAATAGTTCAGTACACCAACCCATACTGAAATTCTGAAAACTACTGATATTCAACAAGTTTGTTACGGACAGGTACAGCTGGACCCCTCAAACTGCACGTACCAAAAATTCCGCAGTCCAGCCTCGATCCCAATCATGCAGGTTCAACCATTCCAACCATTTTAACTGCTAAAGTGAAAGCATCCCAAGTCTCCAGTCCCACTATTTGAGTGTACCATGTGACCTGTAAAATGCATGATAAACCGAAATTTCTTGTTTTAATTTTGGAATGTTGACTGCAATAAATTAATCCTGATTTAAGCAATGTATGGGTGATGAAGGGGTACAGAGTATATGTTGAATGACTATGCCTCGTCAACTACATTGAAGGAATGCTTATATTACTACTAGTGTATGATTATGTTATATGTAGAAATATTTTGAATGACGTTGCTAAGTTGACTGCGGAAAATGAATGCTCATATTCGTATGACGATGTGGCAAACAGATTTATTTGGCATGAAGAAACATGGTGGCAGACATACCTACAAGGTGAGATGAATCTTATCCCCGTCCTATGTGATCAACTTTACTGTCTTTTCAAATTTTAGAAATAATTCAATATATGTAATGATTTTCTTATTATATAATAAATAGAAGAAGGCCTTAAAAGTGGAATTTTAAAGTGGAAAACTTACCTTAAGATTTATAGATTTTACTTTTGTGTATTTTAGTTGGTATTTCCAGATAAGTTTATCAACAGATATCTTTTATTGTAGCTTTATCAGGTGTTAAAGCTCCATTGAAAGTGATGACAGATGGTAACGAGAAAATTGTCACCTACACACCTAAAGTTGCAGGTAAAAAAAATGTCGACTGAGAATTCTTTGAATCAATTTGATTAATTATGGCTTGGGGTTTAGTTTTGTTTTATAAATAATGTTAGTAGTTCTGTGATGTCCTGTTACAGCGACATTCTGTTTTATAAATAACATTAGAAGTTCCGTAGTTATTGTGATGTCCTGTTACAGTGACATTCTGTTTTATAAATAACGTTTGTAATTCTGTAGTTATTGTGATGTCCTGTTACAGTGGCATTCTGTTTATAAATAGCGTTAGAAGTTCTGTAGTTATTGTGATGTCCTGTTACAGCGACATTCTGTTTTATAAATAACATTAGAAGTTCCATAGTTATTGTGATGTCCTGTTACAGTGACATTCTGTTTATAACTAACATTAGAAGTTCTGTAGTTATTGTGATGTCCTGTTACAGTGACATTCTGTTTTATAAATAACGTTAGAAGTTCTGTAGTTATTGTGATGTCCTGTTACAGTGACATTCTGTTTTATAAATAATGTTAGAAGTTCTGTAGTTATTGTGATGTCCTGTTACAGTGACATTCTGTTTTATAAATAATGTTAGAAGTTCTGTAGTTATTGTGACATTTTGTTTCCATCACTTAATCACCATGTTATTTATCTGACCTTTGTTCATCTGTATTCAGACCTTAAATCTTTATTTTTATCATAATCACAAAGACAAATGATATTTGTAGGATTTGGTTTTTACTGAAAGGCAATAATACCAGTTAACTGTCTTTGAAAACCAAGCACCTGTTGATTTACATATTAGATTATTAACAAGTTTGCTTTTGTTTTTTAGGAGACCACTTGATCAATATCAGAGTAGGCTACCATCATTTAGGTGATAGCCCTTATAAGGTCAAGGTCTTTGACCCCCGGAAGGTCAAGGCAATTGACATCCCATCAAAGTGCTACACAGGGAATCCCTGTACATTTCAAGGTAAGTGTTGCATCATATATAGTGTCTTTGTGATTAAATATGATATAAAAAGAAATGTGACATTAAATGACATGACATTAACAGAATCTACAGTACTATATCATGTAACCAGTCTACAAAGGACATTGAACAACCTTAGAAGTAATTTTTCAAAGTTATACATTACAAAATAATACATAGTATTGTATAAGACATAATGAAGGTTCAAATTTTTATCCTGAAAACTTATTTTCTAAACAGAAGTTTGTTCTTTAATGTGACAGTTGATGCTACGGAGGCTGGGGATGGTATCCTAGAGGTTGTGATCCTTTGTGAGGGAAAGACAATACCACACAAACTTACCTCCCTTGACAACGGCTTTTATGAAGTTACCTTCACAGGGGACGAGCCTTATCGTCACAGGGTCCACATGACTCTGAATGAGGAACTTGTCAAAGGTATTTTTAAACTGGAAACAAAGAAATTTTTACCTTTTTTTGTTGGGTGCTCATTATCAAGGACTTAGCAAACAGTATTTGTTAAGTCTGGTGACAGTTTACAGGTATATCGTAAATTGGTAAAGTTTCCGCTTCTCCTTCAAAAAATATTTTATACACTGATGATACAATACATACAATTATAGTTAGTTATAATTGTACTCAACATATTAAACATTTGATATAAACAGTTCAGGTTATCTTTCCTTACTGAAGGTCAGGATTGAGTTCAGTATTGAACACACTTGTGAAGGTAAGGACAGGTCATGCCTTACTTACTGAGGGTTAGGATTGAGTTCTGTAGTGAACACCCTTGTCAAGGGAAGGACAGGTCATATCTTTCCTTTATTGTTTTGCGTGGTGCTCACCCCTCGGAGTATAGCAGATATTTTACTTTGTGAATTGGTTGGCGTGTAAGTAGTATAGTATTAGAGAAGTGCCTTTGAACTTTCTTTCGTTATATAATACTCTTTTTTTGACAGATACTTTCATCAGATATGTCCTTAAATACCTTGTTATGGTTTATTTTACGAATAGGAAGCCCCTTCTGGGTGGAGTATGTGGACGAGATGGAGGAAATGCTGGCCGAATTTGAACGACAACAGTTTGTACAGTTAAAGACACAGGCGGGCATCACATTTAAGGGCACGGCTGGGATGCTTGATCAATTCAGTACAGAGATTATAGGTATAAATAGTATCTAATGCTGAACAATGCAGCAGAGAATTCCCTGGTAACTACAGTTACTTAGAAATAATGTGTCCTATTTGAAGGTCGCATGTGACTGACAGCTGAAGATATTAAATTGCTACAGGCATTGGTGAAAAGATGTCTGTAGCCGAGACAATCTCACTAACATGTTAAAATCTGCATGTTGAAGTTTGGTTGATATAGATGTGTGGAATGCTCCATCTGTTAACAATACAATGTTTGTATGTAACATTTAGCATGGGAATGTGATGATGAAATGGTCTACAAACTGAGGAGCATCATGTGATGTTTAATGAAGGATCTGCTGATATAGCTGAAAGTCATTGATGTCTGACACTGGAGATGGAGGACGATCAGCCTGATTGGTTCAAGAAACTTTGAAAATAATATAAGAACATGGATATTTTAGGATGAAATAAAAAAACTGTTATGTACTGTGTTCTGTGTTCTCTATTCTGTAGAGTAAATATCTTTTACATTGTGATTGTGCTTGTTAGACATAATGTTTAAATAACATTTCTATGACCCTTGGGTGACCCTCTCTAACCTTTGACATTGACTTTCATGCTACCCTTTACATAAATCACCTTCTAAATTTGCTTGTCTCCATTCTGGGGACAGTATCAGTAGTAAATACCTGACTACCTCACCTCATCCCAGATACATTGTCCACATAAATAGGGCTGTTCTTTCTTTGTATCTTTCAAATGATTAACAAGAAAAGTTGGGACATTGGAGACAGAGTATATTGAGTTAAGGCTTGGTTTTCTTTCTAATTTTTTTTTTCAATTGAAGAAAAAAAAAAAAAAAATGGAGTTTAGTTCCCTTGTTACAAAAACGAAAAATTTCAGGGGAAAAAAAAGACCCAAAAATTGAAAATTGAAGATTGAGAAAGTGAAATTTGAGAGGAAATTATGTCAAAGGCACCTTATTCTCTCTGACTTGATATCTGAAGTTAAGAATTAAAATTTGATGACATCTCAATGACACAGCAGTAGTATCCGGCTTACTTCTTAGTTTCAACAGTATAAGATGTCTTCCAATATCAAAATTCCACTGACAATATTAGAGGTAATTTAATCCAAAAATCACACCAACAATATAAGATATCTTCCTTTTCTTAAATCCTACCAACAATATTAGACGCCTTCCAATCCTAACATCCCAGTGACAATTTTAAATGTCTTCCAAACCTAAATTTCCTTAATTCCATTTGTGTCTGATCTGCATGTTGCATGGGTTTAAAAAGACATGTGATATCAAGATTTTAATTCTAGCGGTTTACAGGTTGGTTAAAGAGCATGGGGTTACTAATTAACCGTTTAGGCTTTACAGCAGATAGAATGCTTGTATACGATAGTATTAGACCCTCCCTGGCTTGGAGAATGCATACAAACTGGTCGTGGCTTTGGAGATCCTTTTGGCTTAGAGATTATTTCGATTGCTCAGTAGTTTGCAGTACTTGCTTGGAGTTGTAGAATGCTGGTATATGGACAGTTGCTGTAGATTAAAACAGCATGCTCTCGTCTAGCATGGTAAGTTAGAGGTTTGCTTTTTTAATCATGTTAATTTCAATAAGATTTCATTGAATTGTACTTGAAATCTGTCAGTATTGGGGTGATAGGGGAAACGTTAAGCGATTTAGATAGTAAAAATGAAATTTAATTTTGCAGTAAGTTTTAAAGATAGAGTTGTAATTTCTGATAAAAGTAAATATTTGAGGATAGCTCACAAGCAGCAATAGAAATGATGGACAGATAGACAATAATAAGACAAATTTTCCATGTTGACAGCACCAAGTGGGAGTAAATTGCCAGCCAAGATTCGTGAGATGAGACCTGGATGGTACTGTGTGGAATGGAAACCAACAGAGATTGGGAGCCACCTAGTGGAGGTTTTCTTCGCTGGATCTCTTATTCCAGGATTCCCTAGCGTTGTCAAGGTGTTTGATGCTAACAAAGTGAAGCTGTTGACACAACTTGGTAGAGCAGAGGTTGGAGAGGTGTATGAATTAACATGTAAGTGAATGTCACGTCTATCTACTATGTATCTGTGACCTGTTTCTGTGGAACCTTTTGTACGAATGTCCATCTCTCTTTCGCAATTTTTCTTTGTTGAACTTTGTAGGTACTGGGCTAGACCAGTGACTCAACAGGCTGCTTGTTATCATAATATTATAACTTACTTCAGTGAAATTTTACTAATCTCTAGACATCAAATGTACCCTGATAACCACCATGGTTATAACTGTTGTGAAGGACATATCAAACATCCAGCATACAACAATGTGTTTTCATGTTTTTAATGTAAAATTTACTTCCTTAATTCATGAACTTGATTAAAATTTTTCAGTCTTGGTTGATGAGGCTGGTGAAGGGCGTTTAGAGGTTGTAGTGGAATGTGAAGGGGAGACAATTCCTAGTTTTGTGGAGAGGAGAAAGGAGGGACAACTCACAACAACGTTCACTCCTAGGGCTGGTAAAAAGCACCTGGTGTCCATCACCTTTAACGACCAGCATGTTCCAGGTATTGATGATGTATGATGTGTTTTGGGTAAACCTTATGTGATACACACTAACAGGCTTAAAAATCTACAAATCAAAATAGAACAAAGAGTATAGGTATAGAATTAGACACCATGGAGGCTCCAGACATTCAAAATCACTGTTAAGGAAATAGACTAGAAATAAAACAGGTTTGATACAATGAGACTGTAAAAGTTGGCTGAAGCTAAAACTGATTAATTTGTGCTGATGTTGACATAAAAATATTTCATTGATTTTATGATGAGAAGACCTGCCTTTGTTAGTTTGAAGGATAAATTTTGTTCTGTTGCAATCTAAGTTATTTAAAACATCATTAAAGGTGGTCATGACTGAGGAAAATGTCTCTTTTTCCATAGAGTTAAACAAAGTACAACTTTCAGGTTTGTCTTTATTCCTAATAGAATACTATTTTCACTTTTAAAATACCTGTACAGTTACATACCTGATGAAGTCAATGCTTATCCAGTTGAAACTCCCAGGCTGACTAGATAACATCCATATAACTTGCTTCCCAACTCTCCCTATTTGAGAGGGAGACTTCCAATTTTGGACCCATTATTTTGCTGTTTTCAACAAGTGAATTCTAAGATCTAATGATTTCATTTGAATGAATAAGACAAAATATGCCACTTACAAGCTATATTTGTCTACTGGAGGTACATGCATATGTTGTAGTCATGCTTTTAACATTGAGCGTGTACAATATTGCCAATAAAAATTTTGAAATTTGGTATAAGGCAACTATATTTAGCATTTCATTTCATCATGCTTTGTAAATAATGCATGTAAATGGCGAAAAGAAAACGAGTGGGAAAGAAATCTACGATGTCAGAATGAAGAGAAACTCGTGTTGGAATAGACAGTGTCAATAAATTTGTATAATAAAACAATTACCTTATATCTGAAACAATATTCGTTTTGTTGATATAGCTAATTTTTTTCACAAATCATCACTGTTTTAGATAAATCTCGAGATCACGCTGCCTTTAGGAAAATTCTTTCTTGGTCAAGCTGGACATTTGATCTACATTTATAAATAGGGATAAGGAATAAACATCTGATAGCAATGCCTTTTTATGATGTAAAGTTGAAACTTCATCATTATTTTTCATCAGGGGGACTTTGACCATGTTTAATTGGAAGGAGATGGAGTTAAATATCAAATAGTAATGGAGGCAGATAGATGACTGTAAATAAACATTTTTATTGTTCTCAGGTTCCCCATTTGTAATCATGGTGGAAGATCTGGAAAAGATGGTGACGAGAGTTGAAGAGACAGTGGTCACTTCATCGGTTACCAAACCTCTGTCAGTTGATGTCCAGCCTCTGTCGGTCAATGTACACACACACCACCTACAGATAGACAAAAGACAGTGGTTTGTTCTGGAGACTTACGGCGGCAACATCGATTCACAGAATCTCCAGATACAAATCATAGGTCCCTACAAACTGTATATCAAATATAAAGAAAGAAATAAACACATTTACAACTCTACATGTTTTCTATGACATTTTGTATTTTTTTTCAGATAATTGTATTTTTGTTTTTTTCGTGTGTTGAATATGAAATGAAAAGAGCAGAAAATATGATATCTTGAATTTTTCAATATCAGATTGTTTGAAATGGGTTTGTATTTTTATATATCAGTGTACAACTGTGTATATGTGTATTTATGTATAACTTGTAATTTGAAACAGAAGTTATAACAATATTCTACACTTTCTGAGACGAGAAGGTGTATACATGTATACATGATTGGGATATTTAACTGCGTGACATGTGATCCAGATATTGAGACAGGTTCTACTATTGTTCTGTAATATAAAAATCATTATTATGTGTTAATAGCACCCAATGGTATCGGTATACCTGCTCGTCTAGTATCACAGTCAGGAGGCAACTTCCGTGTGGAATGGACTCCAACTACTCCAGGTAATATCTTAAATATCTCCCTTCCTCTAATACTGGACTGTATATCACATTAAATTGTTATCTTGATATTTAATATCTTAGGCTTCTCCTTTGTACGATAATGGCCTGTTTGTTTGATTGTGGTGGTGGAAGGGGGTACTGTTTTGCATTGTGTCCATCCTTCCTTTCATCCTTCTGCTATCTTGTCTGTGACTATTGATCTCTTACACTACTTGTCAAAGGAACTTCATACTAAAGGTATGGGTTCACCTTGGTAGATCAAAAGTTGGTTACTATGACTGAAATTTTGACCTTTGACCTTTATCAAAGAAAAAATGTGTTTGGACTCTTTGTTCCTAACCTACTAATCATTGGAACGTCATACTTGGAGTAAAGAATTCACCTTGGTAAGGTGATATGACATGTATGAAAAATAAATCACTGAAACCTATATATTGACCTTTGACCTACATCTTACCTCCTACACTACCAGGTATTAGTCACTAGAACTTCATACTTGGTGTATAGGTTCACATTATTAAGTCTGTGTGACAATCTGTGACCGTAATTCACTGAATTGTCTTGTGTGACAATCTGTGACCGTAATTCACTGAATTGTCTTGTGTGACAATCTGTGACCGTAATTCACTGAATTGTCTTGTTCTTTTGATGACCTATGAAACATATTTCATATCATAAATAGGCAAATTGGGTATTGTCCAAACCTGTATCTGTATTTTCAATGATACACATATCTTAACATGTACTATATGTACATATAAGCCTGTCTTAGAAAACATTCTATTTATTAAATGATTTGACTGTAATTTAGGATTTTTTTTATTAAATGATTTGGAGGTACAGTTTAGGATTTTTTTTATTAAATGATTTGGAAGTCCTTTAATTTGATTTTTGTTTTTGATTTGTAAGGCTTGGTAATTAGGATTTTTTTTATTAAATGACTTGTAAGCAGGGAGGATTTTTTTTATTAAAAGTAAGCTTGGTAATTTAGGATTTTTTTTATTAAATGTTTCGACAAGGCTATAGTCAACTCACTGATTTTTTATTAAAGACATTAAGGCTTGGTAATTTAGGATTTTTTTTATTAAATGAAAATTGTAAGGCTTGGTAATTTAGGATCTTTTTTATTAAATGATTTGTAAGGCTTGGTAATTTAGGATTTTAAATTAAATGTTTTGAATAAATTAGCTTTTTTTTAGTGCTAAAAGAATACTATGAATCTATTGAGCAGAGAGATCAAACAAAACTATATTGAACATATATTTGACAAGATTGCTGCTTTCTACTTCAAATAATGAAAAATAGTGGGATAAAACAGTACAGAGCCTTTCATTAACTTAAAGATGAATTGTAAAGTTCTTACCTATAAAACTTTCTCAGAGTCAATGGTCATTTTAATTATGAATTTGTATTAAAGAACTGAACATTTACCAATTCCCAAATAAAAAACAAAATTCTCTTATGGGCTTGCTGTTTTCCAAAGTTGACCTTGTGTGAATCAATTTTGACTTTATTCTTGACAGTGGACTGAATCTGTTTTGACTTTGTTGCAGCAGATTTTGAGTAAATCTGCTTTTGATTTGTTATAGCTGACCTTGACATTGATGTTTTGTACAATCAGCTGTTATTGACTATATCTATCTTTTGTCTATCACAGTTGACTTTGCTGATGCTGGGTCACTAGAGAACACTATACAAGTGTTTGGTCCTTCGGGCCGAAGTGTTGACAGCAACCAGCATGGAGATTACCTGAAAACTGTGTCTTATTATCCGGATGAGGCAGGACCTCACAATATCTTTGTGACCTATGCTGGATTTGAATTACCAGGTAAGGTTTTATTAAATCTTCTGAAATCTGTGACCTTTTAACCTGATGAGGGAGGACTATCTACATCACCTACATATGTTTAAAAGGTTTACAACAATCAGGTAAGGTTTAGTTTGATTACCTGTAATCTGTGAGTTTTTAACCTGATGAGGGAGGACTATCTACATCACCTATGTATGTTTAAATGGTTTTACAACAATCAGGTAAGGTTTAGTTTGATTACCTGTAATCTGTGAGTTTTTAACCTGATGAGGGACCTACAGATATACAAATGGAGAGAAATGGTTTTACAACAATCAGGTAAGGTTTAGTTTGATTACCTGTACATTCGAGGGAACCTGTGAGGGACCTACAGATATACAAATGGAGAGAAGTGTCTGTACGGACACGATGATATACTGACATTCGAGGGAGGGCTGTGATGTATGGAAACTCCAGGGAGAGAAGTGGCTGTGCGGACACAATGATGTACTAACATTCCAGGGAGACGTCTGTGATGTATGGAAACTCCAGGGAGAGAAGTGGCTGTATGGACACGATGATATACTGACATTCCAGGGAGATGTCTGTGATGTATGGAAACTCCAGGGAGAGAAGTGGCTGTGCGGACACAATGATATACTGACATTCCAGGGAGGCTGTGATGTATGGAAACTCCAGGGAGAGAAGTGGCTGTGCGGACACAATGATATACTGACATTCGAGGGAGGGTGATGTGTGGAAACTCCAGGGAGAGAAGTGGCTGTATTGACACAATGATATACTGACATTCGAGGGAGGGCTGTGATGTATGGAAACTCCAGGGAGAGAAATAGCTGTACGGACACAATGATATACTAACATTCCAGGGAGGGCTGTGATGTATGGACACTCCAGGGAGCTTACTACAGTTGGATAAGCACAAAAGTTTATATGTATAAGTACTTTGGGTGGATGATTCAGATCCACTGAAAGTTGTTTTGAGGTCTTTGATGTTTGACAGTTGTCAGGTACATTTCAGTTTTAACTCTGATATGCAGACAGGAATAAGACTTTAAAGCATTCATCACAGTTAAATTTGTATTTGTCCAATGAAAGTATTCATTGTGTGGATCACATTGAGTGCTTCATTTTTGCAAGTACCAAAAAAAAACCATTTAGCAATAAGTCACCAATGTTAGAAAAACCTCAGAACATCAACTTGTGTCCTGTAATTTCATTATGTTCTAGCTCTCCATTGTCAGTAAATGTTCTACAGAGATATGTTTGACTCCATGAAGCACACTTGCACTTTTTTAAAAATTTGTCATGAATTTCTGGTTGGATTTTATATCAATTATGATGGACTCAAAGAGAAAGCAGTTTGATATTTATGTCATCAGTTATCTTAAATGTATGAAAGGACACAGTCTTGAAATTGTGTCTATTGTGTCTGAAAATGTTACTTATGGACAATTATGAGAGGTTATAGTGGTTATGGGTAGGAAGGGCTATTTAGTAGAAATATCAGTGAATAGTCAATGTAACTGGATGCAAACCTGCAGAGAGACAAGGGAGGTGGGGGCGAGGTCTCTGTTACTTATGGTATGAGAGGTGGGGGTGAGGTTTCTGTTACTTATGGTATGAGAGGTGGGGGCAAGGTCTCTGTTACTTATGGTATGAGAGGTGGGGGTGAGGTCTCTGTTACTTATGGTATGAGAGGTGGGGGTGAGGTCTCTGTTACTTATGGTATGAGAGGTGGGGGGGGCAAGGTCTCTGTTACTTATGGTAGGAGAGGTGGGGGCTAGGGTTTCTTATGGTAGGAGAGGTGGGGGCTAGGTCTCTGTTTATGGTACAAGAGGTGGGGGCGAGGTCTCTGTTACTTATGGTATGAGAGGTGGGGGTGAGGTCTCTGTTACTTATGGTATGAGAGGTGGGGGCAAGGTCTCTGTTACTTATGGTATGAGAGGTGGGGGTGAGGTCTCTGTTTATGGTAGGAGAGGTGGGGCGAGGTCTCTGTTACTTATGGTACTAGAGGTGGGGGCAAGGTCTCTGTTTATGGTAGGAGAGGTGGGGGCTAGGTCTCTGTTTCTTATGGTATGAGAGGTGGGGGTGAGGTCTCTGTTACTTATGGTATGAGAGGTGGGGGCGAGGTCTCTGTTTATGGTAGGAGAGGTGGGGCGAGGTCTCTGTTACTTATGGTACTAGAGGTGGGGGCAAGGTCTCTGTTTATGGTAGGAGAGGTGGGGGCTAGGTAATGCACAATACAAATGGATATTTAGGAAAACCAATAATCATGAGTGGATTAAGGTAATTTCTTCATGGATCTTATATCAACATTGAACACCTTCAAAAGGAAGAAATGGAGGAAGTTTTACTTTTTTTCTCTTGATTAGTGAAAAATTATTCAGACCCATGGTATATCCTGGGTTCTACCATCTGAACAGACAAGGGAGATTTACATGAGTGGACAACATTGAATCTGTGTTGTTGGAAAATATATATATATATATAATTTCTGTGATAGAGCTAATTAGAACAAAACCTCTACTACCCATGGAGGTCATTTCCTAGAGTAGAGATAGTTAGAACAAAACCTCTACTACCCATGGAGGTCATTTCCTAGAGTAGAGATAGTTAGAACAAAACCTCTACTACCCATGGAGGTCATTTCCTGGAGTAGAGATAGTTAGAACAAAACTTCTACTACCCATGGAGGTCATTTCCTGGAGTAGAGATAGTTAGAACAAAACTTCTACTACCCATGGAGGTCATTTCCTGGAGTAGAGATAATTAGAACAAAACCTCTACTACCCATGGAGGTCATTTCCTAGAATAGAGATTGTTAGAACAAAACCTCTACTACCCATGGAGGTCATTTCCTGGAGTAGAGATAATTAGAACAAAACTTCTACTACCCATAGAGGTCATTTCCTGGAGTAGAGATAGTTAGAACAAAACTTCTACTACCCATGGAGGTCATTTCCTGGAGTAGAGATGATTAGAACAAAACATTTACCCATGGAGGTCATTTCCTGGAGTAGAGATAGTTAGAACAAAACTTCTACTACCCATGGAGGTCATTTCCTGAGGTAGAGATAGTTAGAACAAAACTTCTACTACCCATGGAGGTCATTTCCTGGAGTAGAGATAGTTAGAACAAAACTTCTACTACCCATGGAGGTCATTTCCTGAGGTAGAGATAGTTAGAACAAAACCTCTACTACCCATGGAGGTCATTTCCTGGAGTAGAGATGATTAGAACAAAACATTTACCCATGGAGGTCATTTCCTGGAGTAGAGATAGTTAGAACAAAACTTCTACTACCCATAGAGGTCATTTCCTGGAGTAGAGATAGTTAGAACAAAACTTCTACTACCCATGGAGGTCATTTCCTGGAGTAGAGATAGTTAGAGAGGGGAAGGTTTGTGTGTACTGAGAGAGACCTGACTCTTGTGATGTTTAACATACACTGTTTGACATGTGATGTGCATCTTCACCTGACATCTGTATTAAGTTCAGAAAGGAGTTAACATAGTGATGTATCAACATGGACTGTGTATACATATAAAACATAATGATAGACAACATGTTTATCTTATATGACACTAATGCATCCGAGATTGAAAGATCAGAATTATATATAAATCAGCAGTCATTATCCTATTGCACGATCCATTTAAATTTAAATTCAAATTTAATTGTTTTACAATTTGAATCATATTAATTCAGTTGGGGTTAACCTGTTTTTTACAATAATTGTGATAAACAAGTTCCTTCAGCTTACTTCATTCTCAATGACGCGGATAGAAGTGTGTGTATATTGAGCTAGTGATCTGGAGATTATCCTCATAATCATAGATCTACAGGTAAATTTCTATTTTTTGATGTTTCAAACAAAATTCTTAATCTAGATGAATAAATTTTCTTCAAACTTTTCATTCAAAATTAAGTTAGAATTTAAAAATCCAGTTAATTGGTAGAAAGAACAATACAAAAAACATACTGTTCAATGATATTAGTTTGCCATGAGAAAGTCTAGCGTGGACTTTGATGTAAAACTTTTAAAACTGTTAGCAGATATCTACAGTATGCCCTAACCAACACAAGTCAATTCACAAGAGGTTTCTTATAATTTCCTTATCATAACCAAACTACATTAGAACTTGACCTAAACTAGCTGGGGCAGTTGGACCTTTATAGATAAGGCTATTTATACCACTATCAAGTCTTAGCCACTCAAGGGGTCTTGTACATAGTATGCTTTCTAAAACCAGGTAATTTATATCAGAAATTCATATATTATTGTATCAGTGTTAACCATGGCTTTACAGAAGTGAATTATATACAGAAGTTGTTAATAAGTAATACATTGTAATCCAACCTAAATATTCAAATCAAGGAAAGACAACTCCATACAGATAAAGATTAAGGCTGCATATCCTTTTCATTAAAAAAAACAACTTTTCATTAATTCACATTTTTATATATATCATTGTGCTGGAATTCATCATTTTTCATTGAATGACAAGAGTTGTTCAACATGGAGAGAGTATTTCTGTAGACTTGTACTTTAAAATTGAATCAAATTCTAGTAATCTTCAACAAGTTATGCGTAATGTAAACAAGAAGAGAGGGTTGAGAAGTGTGATACTTTAATGGAAGTTTAACTGGTTTATAATGACAGACACTGCTGTGCCCAGTGTGTAAATAATTACTCACCCAGTAAGGTTTGCTCACATCTTTCACATTTTTAAAGCTTTATTGTAGGGACTTCATGGAGAACATTTGCTGTTTTGTGCGTGGGATGCTTAAAAATGACGCATATTGGTCATGAGAAATTCTTATAAGGATTTTATGTCAATGTGACTTGAACCAATCCTTAAAATCAAGTGCATTCTCTGTTCCAAATTTCCTTTTTTCCCCCTTGTATAAAATCATGTGACCAAAGTTTCAAGTTACCTATTTACAATCACCTTTTGTCCATCTAATTATGTCATCTGTCGGCAAATATTTATTAGTTTGATTTTCTTCTTCTTTT